TTCTTCATAACTTTCAGCATATATTGCTAAATTAGCCTAATGTTCATGGTACAAGATTTTGGTTAATTTGGCCTTACCTTTATGTTTAGGCCATGAGGTTCATCTATAGATTTGCTTCCATGCAGGGTCTCATAAAGAAATTAACCACATTCAGACCCTCATTATTTGGAAAGATAGATGTCTCAATTACTAAAAACAAATTAAAAGAAAAAAAGTAGTCTTAAGTTGGATGTTCAATGTTCAATTGTTGTATGAATACCGTGTACCATTTCCCAGTCATAAGCACAGTCTCCAATTTTTATTGTAGAAACCCTATAATTAAATATACTGATTTAAAAGCTATTAAAAACAATACATTTTTCCAGAAAAGGTTATTGAAATGAACTAGAAAATTACATACTTCTATAAACTAACATTCCGTTACAGTTCAAATGGAATTTAGTTCAAATCACTTAAATAATATCTCAGATAAAAAATTATAATAAAAAAAGTTAAATATTTTTTAGTTTCTTAATTTTCAGTAAAAATTGAAAATAGTCTCTTCTCAAAATTTTGGGTCAAATTTAGTTCTCGAATTTTAAAAATTTGTGGATTTAATTTTTTTAACTAAATTTTATTAGGTTTATTTGATTTTTTTTAAACATGTTTCATGATAGTATTTGATTTATTTTGACACATTTTTGCTTCAATGTTAATTAAGAAACGTATTTGAAATATCAAATAAACTTAATAAAATTTGATTAAAAAGACTAAATTCACGGTAGTTTTAAAAATGAAAAACTAAACTGGTCCAAAATGTTGAAAAGAAACTAATTTTTACTTAAAGTTAAAGAAATAAAATCATATTTAATCCAAAGAAAAATAATGTATTTTAATCCATTTTAACATCTTAGGTTTAAGTAAAACTTGGTTGTTATTATTGAATCTCCATGATTAATTCTTCTTGGAAAGATTGATGATATTTGATGGTATTGTTTGTGAATTATGAATGTTATTATTGATTGTAATAGATGCATGTGTAGTCATAAACAAAGAATTAAATGTAGAAATAAGAATGAAAAAGCATTTGCACAGCCCTGTCGTTATTAGGTGGGTTAAAGGCAGAGGACAAAAGCCATTTTTTTCGGTACCTAAAAGGAAATTTTATCCACTAACACATGCCATCAATAAATACATACATACTCAAAGTGGGTAGGGCCAAATCCAACCACTAACCACTGTACATAGTTCATGCCTTAACTTTAAGTTTAAGATTATAACCAATTTATATTTCATAAAATATCAAGCTTAGTATATAGATATACTTTTGCAATTTACAGTCATGGAAGAATGATCAAATTTATGTGTATTTATATAGCTTCGGATTAAAGCTTATGGCACCTGAATTGCTTCTTCAAAGTGAAGCCATAAATGTCACTTTCCTTGGCCAATCTTTGGGCCTCCACACTCATCTTTATTCTTGTTGTACTTCCTCTTTCTTTAGGAAAATTCCCACCTTTATTTCAAAAATTGTTCTTGTGACAAGACTATTTACATGAGAAATATATTTTTTTTCATTGAAAAGTCCATGGCATGTGTGTTTTTCTTCCAAAGGGTATATATATTTTGACATAGTTTGGATGTAAAAATTAAAAAAAAAACAAACTTTTTTTCAATTATAGAAACTACAGAGATATATCAATTTTGGGTTTGGAGAAGAAAAAAAAAGGTTCAAAGTTGAGTGATGAAAAAGTATATTTAATCTAAGTTTCATAATGAAATTGAATAACTTGTACAACATGCTATGGTTTGAGAGTTGGGTGGGATTCTCTTATATATTACCTAACTATAATGTTACCCTAAATTCAAACTTTCCAAATGTTCCATAAAAGCATCACTTTCAAAGTATAAACTTTCATATTGTGATGATGCCCTCGATTCTCAAAAGGATTTGTGTATTATATTGGTGTGTACCCCATCTTCTACGCGTTTCGTTATATGTTTATTAGCTTCTTTTTTTTTATGGAAAAAGGGTAATTCAAAGTTGATGGAAGCATCTAAAGAATGGGAAATTAAACATTCAAATTGTGAGTGAATGGGACAAATGAAAAGGAACAAAAGAAATTGGAGGAAGAGAGGTTAAGGCATCTTCTTATTATATATTATTCTGAACGGATGGCCTCAAACATCTCCATCACAATTTTACATGAGACAGAAGGGAGATGGATATGTGAGTATCAAAAGTGATTTTCAATCCAATAGATAATCGAATTTGCACATGATATTGTCGGTTTCATGTCAATTGTTTCAATTTTTTTTTTCATGTTTTGGTTGAATACTTAGAACTTATTAATATTCATACCCTCTTACATCCACATCTATTAGGAGCTAAAAAAAAGTTCGATGAGTAGTAGTATCATGATACACTTTTACATTTAATTGAGACACATTATAAGAGTAAAATGATCATAAAAATTAAGTTTTTGTATTTTAAAAAAATAAAATAAAAAGTAAGTTTTTGTATTTTAAAAAAATAAAATAAAAAATAAGAAATGATAGTATCAAATGAATGTAAAAAATTTATAAGTGTCAAGGAATACTTTTTTATGTTTGATTAATAGAACTTTATTGTTTCTAAGAAATTTCAAGGCACCTTCTAACATATTCTTTTTATTATTATTATTGATTGCTATTTGAGTTATAAGTTGAACCAAAGATGTAGCACATACACTTGTATTTCATGTGGACTTGACCAAATATCTTGATCATGGGTTTGCATTTTGAATGAAACTTTTGTTGATTATGTTCAGTTAATTATATGTGGGAGGGGGCCATGATGAACAGTTGAGATGTCAACTTAACAATGATATTGAAATTTGTTTGATTTTGATTGCAACATGCCTTGCTGTACTTGCACCCAAACGGGTCAACCATCATAGCTTTGAAGTATTCAATTTGGTTATGTTTCAAAAACATGAAATTCAAATATCATAAACATTATTTTTCTGATTTGTTTTAAAAGTGGAGATCAGTACATGGAATCAATGCTTGGAAATCGTATAATTGTGGTCCTAGGGTTCCATGATGTTACTGATAAAATATGGATTTGTGCTGAGTTTGGTGGCCCTCTCCAAGGAGAAGAAGAACAGTGTTTATTATTTGGGATAAGTACAATTTTGTTCTGCTTTCTAATTAAGTATCCTCTATTATAGTAGCTATATTACTTTAAAAGAAATGACTTAGCTAAGGTCTTGTTCCCTACCTAAAAGAAATTAATATTTGTTATTCTTCAATCATCTGTCTTAATTATTTATTGAATCATATTTGTAAATTCTTCGTTTGAATTTTTTTAAGAGGATTAGTATACGTGTCAGGTTTTATTAACGAGTACTTAAAGGTATTAGTTATTTAATTCTTTCAAGCAAATATTTTCTAAAAATTCTTAGTTGTGTTTTCATATACAATGTTCTTAATAAATTCTCATTTTTATTTCCTGAATAATCGAATGTACGTAGCATGTCCCTGAAAAAGTATTATTTAGTACGAACAACTATTACAAGAAACTTGGATAATTGTGCTTGTTAGCGAACAACAATTATTGCTTTTTTTCTATCTATTTTCTAACCATTTTATTGGATCTGCAATGACGATGTTGCAGCAAAACCATACAGCAATTGCGTTTAAAGTGTATCCTTTGATCTATAAAAAAGAAACATTGTCTATAACTTTAGTGGTGATGTAGGCTCTCCCTAAAAAGTGCACCGTGTTTAAGTCTTGGAAAGGGATCATTTTCCCCTCTCCTTCGATTTCTCTGTGGCGAAAAATAGCCAACTAAAATTACTAGTTTTTAATATAAAAGAAAATTATATCATTTTTCTTATAAGCCAATGGACAGGACTATGATTGAGCATTCCATAACAGATTGAATAGAGAAATCCTGGATTATGTTTATGGCTATTCGACCGTTCCAAAAATTGATGATGCATAAATATTGTTTAAGAAAATGTGTATGAACATTTGTAGAATAAAAGTATTTATTTAAAAAAAACAATGTATTGGTTCTTGATAATTTAGCCTACCAAACCTGTGTGAACAACTACACTAAACTCAGAGTGAAAACAGTATTGGAGAAAGGCAGAAGATCAACGTATGCACATTTTTTTAAACCCAACATTATAGGAATCGACAAATAAACCTTAGCATACATGATTGGGCCAAGAAACGGGTAGACCATAACTTATTCGCAACCAATCGAGACTCCCCAACATGGTAGGTAATAGTTGATATAACTAATAATCAAAGCCGAAACATATCAATCCAAAACCATAACTTTCCTTAAACAGCATATCAATTTGTACTAACAATCAATTTATATAAACCGTTCTTAATTAAAAATTATTCCACCGAAAAAACCATTTGGAATGCCTAATCTGATGGAATCCTTGGTTTATTAAATATTATTAATCTTAAACCTAACCCTCCTTCACCTAAATGTTTGGTTATCAAAAAGTAAATTAAAAAAAAAAGTTATATTTTCAGATTCTTTATACATGCAAATACTGGTGCTAAGCTTCCACACAGCAAACACAGACATGCAACATTTGATCCTACACTGCAGACACCAATTCAAAATATATTTTAACTAGAAAACAATTCTAAAAAAACACTTGGACTACTCCACCAACGCACTACTTTTTTAAAACTCACTGCCTAGCAAAGCCACCTTCATCGAGGGCAGGTGGCTACAGCGTCAACTGAAAACCCCAAGTAAAACTTCTGTGCTTCGATGCAGATAGATGGTAGTTTAGGTAAACATTAGCAGCCCTAAATGTTCTAAAACTACAAACATATCACAACTTAGAGAGAAGGATATCGTTTCGAAAACCATATATAGTGCTTTTATGAAAGCACAATCAAACATGCCCATTAAGTACCCAACCCAAACCCAGCACTTTATAAAACACGTGGCATCATTGGGCATCGGTGCTTATACCATTTTATATTAACAAACTGAAATTTTCATAAAAAACACATCACCATACCATTAAGTAGTACCATAAATAAATACAAGTCATACTAGAATCACATGTTTCAAGTACCGGGAAAACAAAACTAACATCAGTTCAACAGGGTAAAGTTTTGAAAGATAGATCATAATGCATGAAAGGTATGGTCACAGACTCGAGCACTCCGGGTGCCCTATATGCTGGGCATCCTTCAGAACACTGCGTTCAGCGAAGCATCTGGGTTCACCTACAAAACCATTACTCAACTCAGAACATGAAACAAATAAAACCCTCACAGCAGTAGTAAGTGATGGCAGATATGCAGCCCCATGCAAAGACACATCCAGCACGCGAAAATATGAGAAGTAAAAGACATTTATGCACCGACTATTATCCTAATGACTGGGGTAGTGCCACTCAGAGCATGAAGTAGTAGACCCCAGTCATAACAGAAGACAGATTGACAATGCGAAAATGACTTGATGTGAAATGGAAATGGAGCAGGGATGAGAAGAATATTAGTCAACCATGCTACAAATTAATCATAAGACTTTATTAGCTAATCATTATTAACACTCAACCGGCCATTCATATATATATATATATATATATATATATATATATATAGATTAAAAAAAAACACATAATCATGGCAACTAGAAATCAATATCCGCAGACAAAATATGTTGGTAGAAAATTTTAAAGGAAAAGCACCAAAAAATCCACTAGCCACCTTATCATTAATAAAAAAACATTGTATTATTCAACAAAAACAAAGAACTGTATGTGCCATCATGTTCAATTAAAAAATGTAAAAGTAAAAATGCACCTTAAGGCAGAATAACTTAAAAAGTAAGGTTCTAAATATAAACTTTGGACAGCTAGAAGTTCAACAAAAACTACAATGCAAAGAATCTTTCAATTTGTTTGAAATCTTGTACCATAAAAAAGAATACACCAGAATACAAAAAACTATAGTCAAAGATTGCAATCTAAGCTCAGATATATATTCGGAGAATAAGACAAAATTAACTAGAGCCACAAAATACGTTTCAAAATTCAAAAGATAACCGAAAAAATAAGGTTAAAATTTAGATATCCGGTATTTAAATAAAAAAAAATCCTTCACTGAATAATCCAACTAGAATATGTATCTTTAACATACAGTCTCTACGAAACAATGTTATTGGCATCAATTATGTCCAACAATGAAGAAACAGTCAGTCAATTCTTAAGCCAGAAAAATAAGTTCTTGACACACTGGATCTATGGTCAAGAAAAGTGTATTAGCATAGCATAGAATATGAAAAAGATGGCGGCCGGTGTGAGGGATCTGAAAGCATGAGAAACAGTTCAACGTCTACATTCTGCTTTTCCGCAGTTTAAAATTAAATGTCCAAAGGAATAAAAGATTTTTGGTTTTGTATGTTCGTTGATGAGTACTGACCTTCTTTGATTCCAGACAGTGTTTCTCTGAGGAACATATTTTTGTTCTGGCTTTTCTGGGGGCAAGCAGTAGAGAGCTTGGGAGCTAGAAAACAAAAAATAGCAATGTTTAGAGAAATTATTATGCGCACATTAAGTAAAAATAATAGCAATAAACTACATGTAAGAGGATATGCTAAATTTTCACCAGGTGTTGCCAGAAGCTTTGTAGAAATTTGTGGAGCTAGAGTGTGCAAGATAGGAGAACAAGAAAGTAACTCGTATCAGAAAGAGGCACTTCAGAGGCAAAGCATCTAAAAAAACCATATTAAGAAAAGAATTAGAGAAACTTGCTTTATTTTCAACAGAACAATATACCTAATCTAAAACCTATTCCAAAAAGGAAACAGAAAAAGGGTAATAAAATTAAACCTTGATTCACAATCAAACATTCCAAGCAACACCACGGACAGATATGAAGGAGGTGCAGCAGCGAGTGCAACCACCTCCAACACTGGTGCAGGTATTTTGGCTCCCCTTCCCTGCACCAGCGGTAGGAAGTATTTCATTGATTGCTATTCAGAGTCATAGACGCCTCCATCATCAGAGAAATCATCAAATGTTCGCATATCAAGCTGGTAACGCAAGATTCCACCTATCCCACCAAAACCTCTGCAAAACTGTGAACCTTCTTGAGATTTATTGGTGACAAATTCAAGAGTGCAACCAAACCGTTTGTATTCATTTGCAAACCACTCCAAAAGAGACAACTTCTCCTGAACCTCAAAATCAGAAGAGCTTTCAGGATCCCGAAAATTGCTTTGGTTGGCCTCTTGTTCCTTGTTATAGTGCTTAATGACAATCTCTCCGGTAGCACCATTTTTCAAGGTATACCTGTTCATATCCAGATTTTCCCAGACAATAAGTGTCTCAACAGCACCCATCTCCAACGCTTTCAGGGTATCATCAACCCCAAAAACATACTTTCCCGTATCCTGGCTGATTTCCTCAAAGTATTTTCCAATCAATCGTTTCTCCTGGATAAACTTTACATTGGAAAGAATTTCAGCAGACAACTCAATAGCCTGATTAAAACCATTTTCTCCTCCATATGAAACATCAACAACATTAAGTATTTTTGCCTGAAGTCGAGGATCAAACATGTCTGACTGACTAAGCTCAGTTTTGAAATCAGCAGAACCAGCCAGTATTAATCCAGAAACATTGGGTTGACTGGTGGTAGGATTGATATAGAACTGGGTAGCAAGCTCTGCTGTCTTCCTGACATAGTTATGACGCTTCTCCATGCGAAGACGGGCAAAACGCAAAGCTGATTGCCCTCCTCTTCCATGTTTCTTTGGGAGATCCACACTGAATTTATGAAGCACCTCTCTTGTGTTACCACTCAATGTCCCAAACAAAGTACCATTACCATCCATGACAATAAATCCAAACTTGTCATCCGACTCCAGGAGCTCATTCAAAGCTTCAGTGTGAAACTTATTGTCACAGAGATAAAGAGATGCATTAATAGGTCTGAAAGGCTCAAAATCAATAGTGACCTTCTTTTCCTTCCCATCTTCAGTCACAATTGTGCCAGTATACAACACGAGCCCATTTGGAGGAACCTTGTTATAGAGCTTAAGCCTCTGTTGAGCAGAAGTTATAGCACCTAGAACTGACTGTCGGTTCACCCTGCTTTTGATGTTTGAAGCAGTTCCAAACTCGTCACCAAGCATCTTAGTGACACGAGATATTTGATCTCGCGGGGGCATGATAAGTGAAATCATACTTGTCCCGTTTCCTCTAGCAGCCTCAAGAGCTTTGATCAATTTCTTGATTTTCCACACCTCAATGTTCTTATCAGTCTCATGACCGTCAGCCATCTTCAAACAATAATAAACCAAAAACCTTGAAACAAATAAGAGTACAACAAATAAGTCACATTCATTTCTTTATAGATAAAAGCCAACACATCCATTTCTTTGGGTCAATAGGCATAAAGATGAATATACCAGTTCCAAGGACAAATACGAACAAACCACATAGGAATACTTCAAAAACAAAACAAAAAAACACCAAGGCCTCATCCCATTTATCATAGCTCACCTTCATTTCTCCGAAAACTCACAAAACCCCAAACACAATCCACTAATGAATAAAGCAACAAGTAGACTCAAAATCCCACTCATTTCTTTTGACACACAAATCGGCCGAAAGGTTCTCATACAATCGTATCATATTAACATTCAAACAGTCTTTTGAAAGCACTTTCATATACTCACAATTCCAAATCCCCCATGTAATCGCTACTTTCCCCATAAGTTGCAGCAGAAACAAATAAAAAAACAAAGATGTGAGGTTCAGACAGATTTAAATCATAATAAAATAATATTATTATTATTAAAATAATGATAACAACTTTTCTTCTCACTCTCCTCCATGTTCACCTTCTCCCTCGTGCCAATTTGCAAATAAAATATTCACACCATAAAATCCACAACAAAGACGCTAATTTTAAAATAGAACGAACCACAAGCGCAGATTCACAATAACACAAATTAACACTAACACACATATATTCACGCACGTGCATGCCTCTAAAGCATCACAAATCAGGGCATATCATATCCCATTAACAGCAGTATATGACCATTAAATCGATCAATCCAGACAAAAGAACCATAAAATAATAAAAGGAATGATGACGACTACCGACAGCGCGAGAAACCATAAGCGATCGAAAGAATAAAGAACAAAAAATCGAAATATATAAATAAGAGAACGATCGAGAGTTGGATTATAGCAATTGCGGAATCGGAGATTGGAATTGGCGAAGAAATTAACCTTTATTGTAGCGGCGGCGAGGGAGAAAAGAGGCCGCAGAGAGAGAAGCGTGCCCTAGCTCAACTATGAAATGGTGAGTTTGTTCGTAGGGAGAGTGTATGCGTTAGTGGTTTTGAAGCGCAAAAAACGGTGTCGTCGCCGATGCTCCGTTTTGATTTTATATTTGAGGTGTGATGGGGAATTACATTTTAGTCCTTACTTGTCTTATGCGGTGCTTGATATTTTTGGAAGGGATTTATCAATTTTATTGCAATTATAAATATAAATTAAGTTTCTGTCTAAGTTTTTAGTTTGTCTGACACGTAAGTTCAACGTGTGCTTATATTGATTGATTTAAAAAAGGCCGTATTTATAATGCTAGTTTGTAACAACTCCATCACTTCATTCTACACCTCCAATTTTATTAAAAAAAATCAATTTTATTAAAAAAAATCAATTTTACTCGTTCATATACTCTATATAAAGTAAGAATATTGGACCCAAAAAATATTTTATATCAAATTTAAAAATGGAAACCACCCATTTATTTCATTCTTACTTTCTTTATATTTTTATCCTTTTTTCTATCTTAGGCTTTTTCTCTCACTTTCACTTCTTCTTCAATCTTCTCTCTCACTTTTATTCTCTCTCGCGCCTCCTCCCCTCACCCTATTATCCTTCTTGGCTCATCCATACTTTCTCCTTTCTTTTCTTTTGCGCTTTCTTTCTCTTGTTTTGGTTTTAAAGATCTTCATTAGTGGTGGTAGTATAATGGATCTCCTTTCCTCTCTGTGTTTTTTTCTGTGCTATTAAATGTTGATCTCCTTCCTCCACTTCTCATTCATGTTTTGTTTGGACCTTTCTACTCATTCGAATGGCTTCTGCTAATTTGGATTCATTGTTATAATGTATGCATTAGATGCATTATATGAATTCATATAGATGGATTATATGAATTAAATTCAAACATGTATGTGTTGCAATGTTGTAAAATGAGGCTCAAAGGCCTTAACCAAACTTCGAAATATGGTTAAGGTCTCGCCAGGTTCGAAAGTTGGTTAAGGCCTTGACATACTTCAAAATATGAGAATCCTCAACCAACTTTTGAACGTCGGTGAGACTTTAACTGTATTTCAAAGTATGGTTGAGGGTTCCAAATGTAAATCTTACATCAAATGTTGGCTTCTCAACGAATAAAACCACCAATGACAGCCATCACCATCACCATTAGGACCACCACCGGAATGCACAAAACAAGAGATTGAGAAATAAAGAAATGCAAAGTGAATTTGAAAATGCAAGGGTGCAAATGTGTATATAGAAGTTCATTTAATTAGTTGGTAAAAAGCAAACTTATCATTACTAAATCCTTAATTCACTCTTGGTATCCCTAGACAATCATGGTATCAACCTAATACGTTGCCTAGTTGAGTTTCACCCACTCCTAGTTGTGTAGTATTCTTCACCACTCTTGTTATCCCTAAACGTTGTTGGTATCCCCTGATACGTCGTCTAGTTAAGTTTCACCCACTCTTGATTTCCACTAGACAATCCTGGTATCAACTTGATATGCTCCCTAGTAATCCTTAACCCGCTTTAGTTAACAACAAATGTTTTAATTCTCTTCAAAATTTGCAATCAATTGATTATGTACAATTCATTAGACGGTTACTCTCATAGAAAGGATATATGTTTAATATAATACAGTCTACAGACTCGATGAATGTTTCTCTATTTTCTCTTTACTTACAAATTGTAAGCTAATATTACAATAACGCTTGAGAGTGTTTCTTAACTTGTTTTTTTCTTTTCTCAGATATTATCTTTGAGCTTGAGCTTCTCTGTGCTTTTCTCTAAACGATGTTCCTTCTCTTTGTATGATGATATTCTCTTTATAAGCTATCATATTTATTCTTTCTTTGAATCATCTTTTATTTAAAGGCTCTTCTAAAGATATATGTTAGACTGAGATCTTGCCTTGATCTTGTGTCTTCTCTGCGTTCACATGTGAAATAGTCGTTGGTTAAAGTTAACTTATCAGAGCATACTTGCTTTTTTAGTACTTTGATAGAAGTAGGTTGTACTAATTTTCTGACACGACTTCTAATGGAGAGAACATTACGTGAATGTATTTTTTTGTCACTAACATCCACTTCTGATATATTTCGAATATAGCAGGTGGATGTGTGTAGTAGGTTATCTGCATAACATAAAGTAGACGTGCATGCAACAAATATATTTTAATATAATATAACTTTCTCGCTTAGTTTAACTCTCATAGACATTTTGACTTGGAAGTTGTTTGATATTGCGTCTGAATGCCTTAACTTTGGTTGTTTTATATTTTATTTATGTCTAAGTGTTTTTCTAATATTTTTTCAGTGATGATTAGGGATTTTGAGCTTAACATTTATGTTTCTGTTTATCTTTTATTCTAATGATATCATCTTCATATTCTCATTTCGTTTAATGTTATTTGGTTAAAATTTAAAGTATACAAAAGCGTTTAGACATATAAGTTTTGTAAACGATTTTATTTTAACATTTTATAGTATAATATTTTGTCACATTGACATTTTTTTACTTTTTTAATTTTTATGTTAATTAATTAATTAATTCATTTAAATTTTGTTAATAAAACTAATTTTAATTGTAAGGAAACATATATCTCCTTTTTTTCTTTTATAGTATAAGATGTTTTCCACAATCAATTATTGATATTTTTTCTTTTTTAATTTTTGGATTAATGAATTAAAATTTATTTAAATTTTATTGATAAAAATAATATTAATTATAGAAAAACATTTATCTCAAATTTTTTTATAGTATAATATTTTCTCACTATCAATTATTTATATTTTATTACTTTTTTTAATTGTTGTGTTAATTAATTAATTAATTAATTTATTTATTTTTATAAAAATAATTTTAATTATAGGAAAACATTTATCTTAAAACATTATAGTATAAGATTTTTTTCACCATTGATATTTTATTATTCTTTTAAATTTTGTGTTAATTAATTAATTCATATTATTACTCCTATAGTTTTATTTCTTGTATAAATTTCGTGATTATTATTTGATATATTAAATCTATCAATAATTTTATTCCATTTATTTAAACTCAATATTTATAAATTTAAAACACCAAGGACTAATAATAATAAAGTTATAATAGTTTTGGAAAGGAAAGACTAGTCTAATACAAAAGTTCACGAGCACAGAAAATCCTAATTGTCTTCTCTTCATCAAGAAACTCTAATTTATATGTTGTCTTTTCTCCACTTCACGAGGCATCGTCGTAGCACAATCACAAAACCTTAATCCCCTTTGTTGTCGTTGCCTATTTTACCTATTATTCCATAACACGATGGTTTCTTTTTCTTCATGAATTTCAACTCCTCTAACACAACATCTCACCTTCGCCATTGGCTTCTCCGTGATCGAAAGCAGTGTCGGTTGGCCACGCCGACACCATCTCCGTCTTCATCCTTGTGTGAGTGTTTGTTTCCCGGTTGGTTTCTCTTGTGTTAAAATTCAAAACGAGTCTAAGTCACACATTTAATATGAATAAAAAAGTACAATACTATATAAAGATTTTGAGTAGAGAATGGTGTCAATTGATGTTGTATCTCTCCGATGAACCTCCTTATCGATAGACCCAACAATTGATATTAGAGTCAATGGTTTGTACGAAAAGTGGTACTCGAATGCTTTCACTAGAGGGGGAGTATACCAATATGAAAGGGACTCACCCTTGAAAGGAGAGATTGTTAGAATTCCAAGTGTCAGTCTAAGTCTTACATTGGATAGAAATGATAAAGTAGAACATTATATAAAGGTGAAGACCTATTAATCTATTGGCTTAAGATTTTGGGTAGAGAGTGGTGTCAATTCCTTATGTAATTAGGCTTATATCTCATTGGTGTTGTATCTTCCCAGTGAACCTCATCCTCAATAGACCTAACATCTCGAACAACCACCGTAAAACAATATCTTTGTGGTTTATTCAGTGTTTTTTTGTTTGTATAATAGTGATGAAGATGATTGAATCTTTGATTTTTGGTTGAAGCATGTATTTGTGTAGGTGAACAATGTTGGGGATAACTCTTTGTATTTTGTTATTTTATTTTGCTGGATTTACAAGTTACAATCCGAAAATAATTTGTGTGAATCTTTTTGGTTTAAAACATGAGGCAAAGATAGTTGATGGACTTAAAGAATGGTAATGGAAACTCCGTTGAACTTTATTTTATAATTATGAATGTGTGAATTAATTTTATGTCATGTGTTTTACTTTTCTTATGATTCTTGTTATGGGATGAAAAATATGAATTAACTAAGGAGAATATATAAAGAACAACAATAAAAATCAATTTCTTAATTGGAACAAAAAAGATTCAAAATTTGGAAATGAACAACCAAATAATCAATAATCAAATATATCTATCGATAATTATCGAGAGACAAAATCTGTCGATAAATCATACTACAACACTTTTGATCAAAACTCTTATAAAAGAAACTCAAACTTAATTTGTCTCCATGAAAATTCTGAAATGTCATTGTTCAACTTTTGATCTAACAATTTTCCATTCTCTTAAAGAAAAAAAAATATTAGCATTTTTATTCTGGTCCAAATTAATGTTTGGTCATATCTTATTATTACCTAACGCATTAAAAAAAAGTCAAACGCTAATTGTAAAAGAATAAGATGGATGCACCAATTAAAAGAAAAGTGTAAGAAATATATAAGATAATAATATTTTGACAATTTTTTTTTAATATTACATATTTGTTATATGTCATTTTCGTCCAAAATTATTTCATAATTAATAATAATAATCATAAAATAACCCACATCAATCATATAATAATACGTAAATAATAATAAAATATTATCAAAAATATTACATAATATTATTATCTAAATATATATAGTATCAAACAGAACAACATTTTATAAAAATGTTCACTTAGGGAAAGTTAATTTGGAGGACTACATGCAATTTTCCATTTTAATGCAAAATTAAAAGTTAGATTGAAACTATAATTCTTTACTTTTAAATACTAAAATAATGAAAAACTATAAAGTAACATTATAGACCGAAACTTAAATCTTCCATTTTCAGTAATTGTTGGAAAAGAACTACTTTTTCTCGAATTATAAAAGCCGGCACCGGAGTTACTTTAGAACTCGGGTGAGTCCACTCAC